ATACTACTACAGGATTATTTAATGTATTGTAAATTTTGTTTCACGTATTGCTGAAAGCTGTGCATTATGATTATATATTAATCATATAGCATTAAATGATTTGTAATATCTAATTACTTCAGTTTTATTTTTAATGTACTTGTCATTATAGATTTAAAGATTTAAAAGTAATAATGTTTTTCATTTAAAAGTTCAAATTTGTGTTATCATTTTTTTAAACTTTTTTGTCATATTTTCAAAATTTTTGTGAAAATCGTAATTAATATTATATTTTTAAAAATATATAAACAAAACTTGAAAACAATATTGTTACACCAGTTGCTTATAAAGCTTAGACTTTTTCCCCCCTAAAATTTTGCTGTTACGTTTTTTAAATTAAACTTCATACATTAGCAAAATGCTATATTTTTAAAAGCTATAGAGTATATGATGTTTTAAATGGATGGAATAGAATAAACAATTAAAAAAGATTAAATATACTGGGAGAATGAAGTGCTTTTGCAAGGGACGTCCGGTATCCTATATTATCATTGCACTTTCCTGATCTGATATAGGCTTTACCACGTGTGCTTCGGTAACGAGATGTGGGAACCTCGGCTAACTGCCTTGCATATTTTAAAATTTAAAACGTAATTCTGAAGTGTGTTCCTTTCAAAATGTTGTCTATTAAATTTTCAGAGAATTATTATTTTTTCCCCTTTACAATTCCTTAAGGATACACATAATTAATCCAAAAAATCAAAACTCACACCTAGTTGCAGGCACAACTTTCGATCTAGAGAGCTACGAAATTAACTATTCTGATCATAAACTCTAAAGTGGACATATCAAGATTTCGCTAAAGAGTAAGAATTCATATCGCAATTAAGAAAATGTTTAATAAAGACAGTCGGCAAAATTAAAGTAAAATGATTTTCTGTGACAGATTAAAAATAGATCTTTGCTTTTTATTCTGTAAGAATCTGGATCACAGTAAGTTTAATAATTATTTTAATAATAACAATAGCGCCATTTGACAGTTTAAAACAATGCTGACATTAAAAATTATCATTAAAAAATAAATTTTAATATATTTATATCGTTAAATAAATTATGAAATATTCCTTTTTAATATTTAGTTTATTATAAAAGATCTTTCTACCCTAAAATTTGTTTAAACAATAAATGTAATAACCGAAAATGTTAGTTCTTTCATTTATCACCATACTGAAGAAAATTAAATATTATTTAAAAAAGTCTGGAAGAAAAAGTTTGGTTCTTTTAAAATGCTCTTTTTTTATTCATATTTTTCATGTTTACATATAAATGAAAAATAATATGCAATGTTTCGTTTGCAGTTCGAAAGCTTAACATTTCCGCGTTATGAAGCGTTGGAAAGTTTATCCAATCTATGGAAAACAAAATGGGACTAATATAAATAATTATTGATCATCCAGGTGAAAACTTTTATCAAGTATTAAGAAAAATAAGCTCTTTAGAAGTCTGAAAGTCTTAAAGCATGAATATATATAAATAAAAGTTTTAAGACGTGATAGTATCATTTATATAACGTGATAGTATCATTTATTTAATGATCTCCTATTTACTTTACATCAGAATAACATAAAATTAGCTTCTCTGATAAATTAGCGCGCTGTGGGTTCACTAGCTTCGAATGCAGAAGAGAGATTTCTTCGCACTCCTCATCGTGACGTCACGAGAGAGCTGGACGGCCTGTTTCTCGAAGGTCACGCTTTAACCAGGTTGTTGTGTCTCCCCTCGTCGTTCTCCCGCCCCGCTTCAGAGAGACCCAGGAGCGAGAGAAGGTGCAAAAATCGCGAGACAGAATTCGGTAACCGCTCTCTCAGTTGTACCTTGCTCCGACCTAGTGGCAGGACGTGCGACGTGCATAGGGTTCCTCTGCCGTCCTGAGCATTGGAGTTTTTTACTAGTAACCTTGCGCTGTTGTGTCCAGTCATGAGCTTGTTGATTAGCTCTGGATTCGCGCATAAATTTGATTCGCAGCACATCACATGTTGGGTGAAAGGTAAGCGATGTAAAGTTATTAAATATTCAAATTATCGTTATTTTTCTTTATAAACATTTCGTAGCCTGTAAAACTTTTATAAAAATATATGATTTGATTCCAGACAGAGAAATTTTATTTTTAAGTAAAAACATTTCATAACCAATAGAAATTTTTAAAATACAAATGACAAGGAGTTTGCATTTTTGATAAAAATATTTCATTGTATATAAAAATTTTATAAAAGACCGAGATTTGATTCCAGACAAGAAAATTATTTTTTTGCATTAATAATTCTCTGCTTATAAAATTTTGTGATTTGATTCTGAATAAGAAAATAGGAGGAATTTGTTTCTTATAGTTGTATTTAAAGATTTATTCAATATTACCTTCCGTCTTTTTTTCATCCCTTCTATATGTTTTATCCTTTCTATTCATATATGTTTAGTTTAATAAGACTTGCCTAGTTTAATTATATTGTATAAATGAGAGCTATTGATCTGCAAGCTATTAAATTGAGAAAAATTAAGTTAAAAGTAACATTAGCTAAGAGCGTGAGTTAAATTAGACTCTCCAGCCAACAGTCAAATTTAAATCACGCTCTTGTCAGCATATTAGGTGCAGTTTTAAAACTAGGGTGTCTTTGAGGTCTCGGGTGTCAAATACTGTTAACACATAGTAGTGTGTACACGCGTAGTGTCAAGTACTGTAAACATTGTTGTAAACGTACTACAAAAAACATTGTTTCGTTATTACACTCGAATTCTTCTGGAGAGCAATGGGGAAAGAGATTTAATTGTGGAATAAATGTGTGGTATGAAAGCACAGAGAAAATTTAAGGAAATGTTTTGTGAAAATTATATATCATGTTTGTAAAACATTTTTCTAAAGTCGTTTTCCTTCCCGAGTTTCTGGAAGGATGTGAGCTGCTGAAAATCTGTACATCTGAGGGAGAACGAAGATTATGTAAAAACAATTTTCTTTTTACATTTAATTATATTCAAAGTCTAATCTTATCGTAAGACGTTGCCTCTGGTAAGGTTAGGTAATTTAGATAGTTAGAATTTAAGATCTTAACGAGGTCGCTAAGGACTTTTTTTCGTGTACTTGAATTCCATCTTGGAAAGGTGTGAGGATTTATCTATTTATTTTTAACTAATAGTTAAGTTAAATTACTTTTATATCACTCTCTTTTCACTTATGAGTTTCATGCCAGAATGTAAATGAGGTAGCGAGCGTTTATTCAGACTGAGAGAGAAAGAACTGCTATTTAAGCAAAGGCTTCGCAAGTTAATTTTAGAGTTTGTTCTGCATACTTCAGCCACGTTGTACTGTGACTCATTAGCGGTTTGATTCTGTGGCGTTGAATGCTTCTAGCCATTAGGCTTGTCTCGCCGGTTTTGTTTTGTTTCACAATGCACGAAGAGAATTCTGTCATAGCCTTTTCTTTAGTTTATGCTTCCGAAGAGTACACAACTTTACAAAGTCTTAAAAACCATCATAAATATTATTGATTTCCTACGCCACCGAGGACTGGATCTGTGTCATCCATAGCATGAGAACCAAAATATTTCTCTAAATTCAGAAAATGCAACAATAAGAGTATCCACTCTCCACCAACACATTGTGCAGTAGTGACTTGAGAAAACACACACAAATAATATATCCACTTATTGAGACAACCGTGACTGCTGTCATACGTACTCAAACTACGAACCGACTTCATACTGTGTAATGTGTGACAGATATACCAGTACTACGCACTCAGCACTAGGTATCATCAATTAACTTGTAGTGTTGCGTGGCCCCAACTTGTCAGTAACTAGGGTAGTGACTGCTATGAACTGTAAATTACACAAACTCGTAAGAAGGGTTTAAATCCCTTTTTATTCCACTTTAGAAATAACAGCTGCGTTCACTTGACGCTCACAAACTACGCCGATCCGGCGGTATAACAAAAACGGAAATGAGAAACTAAACATTAATGACAGGATGAATAAACAACTAGATCACTACCTACGAGGCTCTAAAATCGTAACTAACTTAACCGCGTTCTAAAATACAGCTGAGATTCAGCGATATTTCTTTTGCGTTTCTATTTGGAGCCTTTTTGGTGGGAGAAATATGTAAATTTCCAAGGATGTGAAGTTCACTCTTGGAAGAAATGTCTACAATAATTTTTTCAGAAGGAAACTTAAGTGCGTAGTTAAGGAAACAGCTGTAATAATCAGTGGAAAGTTCTGAGGCTTTATTTTTCGAATGCAAATTTCTGTAATTCAAAAGTATTCGAATTCTTTCATTTGACATATTCTATGACCTCTTTTATTTGACGTATTCTTTATCCTGTAATTCTTTTAATTTGACATATTGAATTACGTAGGAACGAGATGTCATACATTTTCCTGGAATTCTTATTTTCAAGATCATTTTTTAAAAAATGGATAACAAACTTCACTAACTAGTGCGAAAATAGCTTGAAAGTTTAGTGGAACGCAACGGATTCCTAGTTTTGTGAATTTTATCAACAGCAACCATTCTTTAAAGGCTTCTGTATCTGTATCAATCTTGCTTTTTAAGCAAGAAGAAAGGACATGAGGACTTTGGCGAACGCCGTTTCCTCCAGTCCGTGAGGGTTAATATTGAAACGAAGACATTTAACAACAAACGTTTTTACAACTTTTTATTAAACATTTACAAACATCCATGGGATTCATCTCCAGGATTCGAGCCCGGGCCCTTCGACACGGCAGTCAGCAACGCTAACCACTATACCGGTTGGGCAGCCTTTAAAGGCTTAATGAAAAGAAAGGTCCTGTATTTGAAAAAAACCTAATTTTCTAACTAACAGTACAAATCACTTATGTAAAATATTTTATTCTTTATTTTATAGATTTAATCCTGCAAATTACTGTGTATTTTGTATGATTTTTGTTTCATTCATTTATTTACTCACTTTCTATAATTTACTGTATATTTTATAATTTTCTTTCCACAGTTAAATAAATATCCTTCTTTAGAAGAGGGATCTTTTGAAGAGGAAACGTATGATTTCCTAAAAGCTCCCGCTCTAGATAATAAAAAAGTAAGTGGAAAAATTCTTCTTTAAAATCGTTTTAGTGGTTTTATCGAATGCAATGATAAAGTTCGCTCTAGCGTTTTAAATGCGGACATTTCGGAGCTCTTAATTGCTACTGCTATATCTAATACTTGACGATAACTTCTCATTTCGTGAATACGAGATTTAGACGAAAAGGTTTACGACAGTGTTTTGAGATTGAAATATAAATATGGATAAGTAAATGTTAAAATTTGTTATAGTATTTATGTATTTACGTATTTCTGCAAAACTGATTCCACGAAAACGATTATTCTGCTGAAAATGCTTATTCATATTGTTACGAAATGTACAGGCGCGGAGATGGCTTTCCCGCAAAGCAGTTTTAGGGTTGCCATAAAATGGCTAGGTAACACAGGGTTGCCATATTTGGCGGGAAATCGCCCATTTGGCGACAAAATTGGCGATATAACATGGACGATTGGAGAACCTTCTGGAACGATTTCTTACCGGTTTAGCCCAGAATGTTCTTGAACACCAGCCAAAAGCTATATAAACCCTGCTGGTCCGCAGTTAGTCAGTGTGTGTGTGCCTCGTCTAGAGGGCGAGATAGTAGTATTGAGAGTGTGTCTCGTCTAGAGAGTCAGTCTGTGCGGAGTCGATCGAGTTGACAGCCGGGCAGCGAGTGTCGAGTGGGTCGTCGAGTGCACCGAAGGAGTCTCTTAGTGTATCGCGGTTAGTCCATCGTCGAGAGAGCGTGTTGAGCTCCGGGAACGACTGAACCGAAGAGTCGAGAGCTGTGCTCGTGTGTAGTCGAGTGCATCGCGAGTTGTAGCGTGGAGAGTCTCGAGAGTACGTGAAGTTACGAGAACGACCAAGCAAAGTCGGGAGCTGTACTCCGGAAAGCAGAGTCGGGTGCTTTGCAGGAAGCTGTCTCCACCGTGATAGCCTGATAATCTGAAGGCTGTGTCGCTGATCGTGTCAGCGTGTTTATAGTAGTTCATCGACGACTGTAAAACGTGCGTTGGAGCTGTCCTGACAATACTGCCAATAAAGAGTGTTTCGATACTTCATCAAGTGTCGTCGTTATTCACTCCAAATATACAAACCCCGTACGAACGTAAAGGAAGAAAATAACGTAGCAACTGCTGTCAGAAGAAGAGAAAAACGCAACAATATAAAAAGTACCATTTCCTTTTAAAATAACTGAAGCGTGTAAGCTCTGAAGGCCGATTTTCGTAATTGGCAGATAATGGATTAATATTTAATTGCCTAATCTTTACGGCACACAACCAGTTTTTTATATTTTTTTATTTACTTATTGTTGTGGTACTGGAAGATAAAGATGAGAAGTTTATCTATCCAGCAAGCTAATGAAAGACAGACTAATGTTTAAATTAAGCCAAAGAGTTTAATCTTCAGGGAAGCCGAAATGTAATTTTATAAGAGATAGTTGCTTTGAATGCTAAACTGAACGCCTTGCTATCACTTCCGAATGCTTATTTACCACGAATAAAATATGTGGCCTCACTGCCATTTTAGTATATCTATTGTACTATTATTCAAGACAATATTTTCGAGCTAAAAGCATTTCTTTTGTGACAGAGAAACGAAAATTAATTGTGTTGATCTAATGCATAAAAAAAGGAACTCAAGTGTTAGTTTATATAGTCCCCTATGCTATGACAGGAAGCGAAATGGGGTAGGAATTGTACTCATATATTGGTTTTAAGCAGAATAAAAAAATGGTTTCTGTACACTGAAACTGCCTTTGATGCTCTGAGGAAAATGCAGCCAACCCGCTTGTTGGGGTTTGAAACCATGTCGAAGTACCAGCGATTTCAACACTCCGCCGCTAATAGGCCCTTTATTTTGAGAGATCCTCGGTGGAAAATCAGATTTTCATGGTGATAGCTTGCTTGTATAAGAAGAATTAATGATAAATAGTCGCGATAAAAAAATTAAAAAACAAAAGGTTGTATAATCGTTCAATGCTTCAAGATGAGATTTTGCACCCTGAAAAATGTCTAGTGGATGATAACTTCTGAGTTTGTCGATACTCGCCGCTGTATGAACAAGTTGAAAGCGGCAGTAGTTCATATAGCGCCTAACAGGCGATCGATTGTCTAGCATATAATTCGCAGCTCAGTCTTAGTGCTGCATATGCCTTGCATCATGCCAGTTCATTTCCTGCAACCTTCATTCGCCTTGTTAACAGAATGGCTGCAAATCTTGCATGATTTTTATTAACACTGCACTTAATTCTATAGAAAGACTTCTCAATGCCCGTCAGTCATTTATGGTGATAACGCATAATACTAATTGCCTTTCCCAGAATAATAATGGTACTATAATTTGTTTTTTATTTATTTATAATCACGTATATATTTCCTAAATAATTTAATCACGTATATATCTCCTAAATAATTTAAATCTTCTATTGTAAAAAACTAGCGCTGTATCACAATCAGTGATGAATCCTTTAATCTTGTATACCTGTATAACTAACAAAGCAATGAGGTCTGTTATAAAAAGTTATAAGTACCCATTTGGTAATAAAAAAGAAAGAAATAATTTATTCGGACAAAATATTAGGCTACTTTGGAAGTAAATACCTTATTCTACTATTCTATCAACCACCGGGCTGAAGCGGTTATCATATCAGGAGTCAAGTTTTTGCGTATATGATGAGACATCATATTCTTCTGTCTCCAGCCCAATGTTCACTGCTTTTAACGTTTGTAGGAATTGTTCATTGTCAGCGAAGCGCTTTCGAGAGAAAAGCTGAGCACCTTCTACAATCATACTAAGCCTCATGTTGTCACATCCATAAAACAGCTGATTCGATATAGCTGCTTGGATAAGGCAACTGTTTCCGTGGTTACGTGGATGCAGAATTCGGGAGTACATACATTTCGGACCTTGCTCACATCGATTTCCATCTTTTCAAACAAAGTCTGAGATGGAAAATGCTTTGCTGACCACGAAGAGCTTTAGAAAACAGTAATTTGTCAATGGATTAGGGGCAGAAGTGGCTGACGAGAGTATATAGAAACTTAACTCTTAATAAATGCCTCGATGTTATGAATATTTGGATGGAAAAACAGACCGAGTTTTGTGTTTTCAAAATAAATAGGTTTTGTACAATTGACTTCTTTCATTTGTTTTGCTACCAAGCGGTAATTAAGTTTAAGGACTGTCATATATTTGACGTGTGAATAAAAAATTTTAAATAGCGGCTTTGGGAATTGGTGGTTTTTCTTCAAAATTTAAGTAATAGATCATATTCGAAGGTTTCCTTCTCTGACTTATTAAAAAATTATTGATCTACTTCCACTATGCTAGCTTAGTCTTGCAATGCAGAAGAGTACCACCGGTGGCCCAGTGTGGATATGACACCTGCACATTGGTAGTTCGATCCCGGCTTGAATCTTTGCGGACAGGCTGGCTTATAGGTTTTTTCGTGGATTCCTCATGTATAAGGGTAATAAGAATATATTTCCATCAGGAAACCCTCCATGGAGACATCCCTTCCCTTTGCAGATAGCTCTGTGGGGCTTCCGTAAAATCATCTAAACAAAACAAACAAACATGTATAACGATTATAGCACCAAATTTGCTTTAATTAGCAAACATTTTTCGTATGTGCAGTAAAGAGTTGCATGATTGTTTTGTTTAAAAACGTTTGATTGTTTGTAATCTGTTAAACTAAAAATATTTTCTTGCTTTTGAAGGTACCTGAAAATTTAGAAGACTTATGGAAACTACTTAAAGTATATAACATGGCTTTCGGTGAAATGAAGAAAGCTGCAAATGAAGACGAAGAAGAGGAATATCACAGTCATTTATCATATATGTTTGTTAATAATAGCACAATATTAGAACATCTATATCAATACCTGGGAAGAGAAGTCCTTCCTCCAGATGACATTCCTGAAGAGTTCTGGGAGTTTGAAAAATCGGATTCCGTAGTCCGAGATCTTATAATCTTAAAAAGGTACATAGACTTCCTCTCATTAATTCTAAACACATTAAAAGAAATAAAACCCGTCGAACTTTCTTATCTAGAGGATTTCATACTGTCGACTGGTATATGAATGCAGATGTGTCAACGAAAAAAAATTCCTTTATTATACTTATGTATGGCGAGCACGTCCACATGCGTTTTATGCATTCATAGTTCATGATTTTATTATTAAAGGTATAAATATAAGGCAAGAAATTGCAGATCTAAAGCTTAGACTTGGGGGGGGTCTGCTTATTACCTCTTTTATTTGATGCTTTTAGCTTTTTAAATTGGAAAGACCAAATATTCTGCAATTATATTACTTATAAAATTATTATTTTATGAGTCTGATAAAAGAGATTTTACATAGACTAGCCTCTACAAGAAGCACACCGATTTATAAATGTGTACAATCTCTAATAATAAAGAGCAAAGGATCTTTCGTTCTAATTAATTTAGTTTAGACAAAGTTTATTAGTGCTACATTTTGTACTTTTTACCGCTTATCTAATGCATTTTTATGAATTTTTAATTGCTTTCATGAACAGGATTAACAGGTATTTGCCCCGTTAATCCTGAATCCTACGTGACACGTATATCTGAAAGATTAACGGGTATTTGACAAACTCTTTAAAATTTGCCTCGATACCCTGTAGCTCTGTATTCCTGTGACTAATACCATTGATGGCAAGCACTCTTTACAGTCAGTGCAGGAAACTGAACCTAAACCGTAACAAAGTAAGCAATTTCTAGAAATGATGTGGTATGTTATTTTTCTTATTTCATATTATTCTGTCATAAATTACTTTGGAAGTACCTTTACCTATCGCACTATCATGTAATGCTATAAAAGATCACTGAAAAAAGATGGATCTGATTTTTAACAATTTTATTAGAAAAACGTTTGAATCAACTTAAGAAATTTTTATTACGAAATAAACTCGAAATTTTAAATTTACATTTATCATATGATTTGTAAATTTCAATATGAACTCCATTGATTCCACTCTTCAGATGTCAAAGCGATGATTTCTTTCCATCCACACACGCTGGATCATATCTTGTGTGATTGTATATCAATGGCAACAATGTGATTATTTTGCAACGAGTGGTTGAGTCTCGTAAACACTTGCCAAAAATTGTGTTGAACAGTTACAAAGATTTAAATTCTACGTGCCATAACAAGTACTACGTACTGAGCTCTTTGTAGCACGGCCTCTGAGTCTGTGTGAAATCTCTGGTTAAAGAGGATGACACTCATTAAATACTGCTCAGCAAAACTTCTGCATATGGTTAAGATAACCTTTTCCCTCCCAATGGTGAAAACTTAGACATTTTGCTCATTATTTTGATATAAAAACTGCAAAAATTCCTTTAAGATAAAGCGTAAATAGTAATTTAAAATCAGATCCATCTTATTTAAGGATTCTTAATATCAAGTCTAGGTGAGTTATACTTTAATAACTAAATCATGTATAACACTTATAAGGCATTATTACCTCTTGTTACTTGTGGGTTACAGAAAGTCAACAAAAACTGCTCCTGATAGGTAAAATGTATAATTAAGAAATTCTAATTTAACAAGTCAAATTTAGTTTACGCCGGGAACTGCTTTACACATTACTAGCCGCTACCTGTCAAAATTCAGAATTTACCACTTACCACTCGCAGTCCTCTTTCATTTTCAGCCAACGGGGATTGTGAGAGACATATAAGTACTAACAATAGTAGTTAAAGTTAACGTATTATTACAAGCTATTGTTTAACTCGTGCAAGCTACTGTTTAACGCCTTAAGTTAACGCACATTATATATATTACCTTGTCTCTAACCTCGTCTTATTGTTTGCTTTGTAATTTCGGTACTTTTCCGTTTCGCCGGCACAAATCTCGCCAAGCAGACTTTGTTGGCGACAGCATACAGTATACACATAAAAAATTTTAGTTCTAAGAATTGTTTATTTTGAAGGCATAAACATATTAATATGATTTAAAATTTTGTAAAAAGCCAATAAATAAAGAAAATAAATTTGTAAAAAGACATTAAGAATTTACTATGCTTTCATGGTTCAACATCCTGATTCGCCGGTTCATATCACGTGACCCCTAGTGATCTCATCTCACGTAAACTACACTACAAAAATCTAATTCTCTCAGTAATTATTACATTAATTTCAAGTTAAATCTTAATTTGGAATACAAGTTTAAATGCAAGAATTATTTCAATTCGTACGAATAGCTTACTCAGAAATTATGTAAAACCGCAGTGCTTTACTTCGCTAGTGCATTCTCATTAGAATGGATGAATTTAACCCTTAATTTTGCCTTTGCTATATTTTCGCCTTCGGGTGAGCGGTGTGATTGCATCCTAATTGACTTAATTACCGCAAATGGTCTTAGAGTATAAAATTTAACTATCTTTTTTAAAAATTCTACATAATTGTATGCCAGTATTGTAAGAAACGATCAAGGTGATAAGAAATGGCTGCGACTTGTTTTGAAAATGAAGCATAAAAGGTTACCAGCGAAGATATTCCGTTTGGCATCAGTTGTACCATTATTGGCGATTTTATCGTTTGCGCCGGTAAAACGGAAAAGTACCGTAATTTCTCTCTCTCATGTTTACGAAGTGAAAAAGACAGGATAAGATATAAATTAAAATAACTACTCAGGAATTTATAATAAATGCTACCATTTTATAATGCAAGAGTAAATATGCGTAACATCGCGTGTTATACATACATTTTCATCATAAAAGAAATATATTCTAATTTATTTCCATATCCTCCTTCTCTTTTGCCTCTTGATGTTTAGTCAAACTGAAGACTAAAAATAATCCTCTGCTAATTTTCTTTTGAATATTCGTCATAGGTAATTTTATTAGTGTTGAGTAGCTTTTTAATTTATTCTTAATTTAATTCTTAATTTAATTCTTAATTTAAGAAAATGATAGTATAGCCATGTAGGAATAATTCCACAAATCGGAGGAATTTTAGTATCGTATCACATTGTAACGAAATTAATTCTTTTAAAATGGTAGAAGTCAGATGTTATGTGAGCAGATATTGCCTTACAATAAAAGCAGCTTATTGTACATTTCAAACCATTACGCTTTAAAATACATTTCACCTCATGTTACCATATGTTGCCTTAAATTGTTATTTTCAGCAATTGCAAAGTTACGAAAAATCCTAAGCAGCCTTATTGCTCGATTATTAAGTGCTTCTTTTGTACAGGTGTCTCCTGAAGTTATTCATATAGCATATTTATAAACTTAGTGCAAAATAAACAGACGTGCTTAATGTCTAACTAAATCAGATCTCGTTGAAAATTTGCTGATAATGATTATTTGAATGTATAAGGAGGTGTTTTGTGTCTAATCTTCGAATGCTAAGCATTCTCTACTTATAGATGCATTTTGATTCCCTTAGGCTAGCTTGGAAAAAAAGATGCTGAGAATTTAGCGTATGTTATAAGGACATTTTACTTAATAATAATTGTTATCATTCGATAAACAAATTCCCTTAATGCTTGCAATAATTTCAGTTAAGTATTGGCTTTACTGTTCCTTATGAATTATCCTAAGTGGTCATTTCTTTAATATTTTCATTCAAAGTATCAACTACAAGTATTATATGGACACTGAAAATTTCTTATGGTAATTTGAAGCACACTGATAAGCTCTGCAAAAGAGTTTCTTTGTAAATACAATTTGCTACATGTGTATAACAGAACGTTTCATTACTAACAATGTGCCTCAAAGCTTGAACATTTATCAGCAAATATTTCTTCCTTTAATTATAATTTTTAATATGAAAGACTTGACATATGCACCAGTTCTTAAATTGCAGTTTTAGTGTGCAATTTAAGAACCAAACACATATGAAGTGTGCTTGGAAATTTCTGGCAAGGAATTGCAGTTTATTAGCATATAATATTGTTGTTTACTAAAGCGAAAGGGATCAAGAAAAGTACCACCAGAAAGCAAATGGCTTGCGGTGTACGTAATAATTCCATGGATGGAAAACAGATATATACACAGTTTATCGGTTATACTTAATAATCTATTTTTAATTAAAGAATTTCTGCGTTTCTTAGAACCAAATACATATACATATATATATATATCATCATTTGAAATCATTATCGTCAAAAGCGTTATGCAAATTTCCGTCATTAGCAGTATGTAAGAATTGTACGACTTTGATTAATTTTGAAATGATGCAGTTTGGAGAGTTTATTATAAGTAGTTACTGTTTTTAAGATGGAAAGGGGGAAGTAAACAAATTAAAATAGAGAGTTATGGGACTAATTCAAATTAAAGTTAGTATTTTGATTTACATATATGTCTGTGTATGGTTCTATTATATGAAGTTACACTCGAATAAACTTAAAGTAACCTTACTAGACCGGTGAACGAGTTTTCATCCCGTCTTGTCTTGGAAACCTGTAACACAAACTGATAACAGCAAATTTTAAAACAAAAAAACAACCCCCCCCCGAAAAAAAACAGCTAAAATATTTATTGGTATATTAGCTTGAATATGCTTGAGGCCTGATAATATAATATTAGCTCGGTATTTACAACTCATAGCATTAAAGACTCAGAAAATGGCTCCTGTGTTACCCAGCACATCACTCCATGAGAAAGAATCAGAATGACCGCTCTCTGAGCCACAACTGCTAAGCATTTCTTTCTAAATTTAGGATTCCTGCTCATTATTAAAACTCAATTTGCATTCCCTGGGAAAGTATATGAAACAGTAAAAGTGCATAAAGATTCAGCATAAGAAATAATATATAAATTAAAATAAACTTTACAACAATATGTATATGGTTCTATGAAACGCAGTTCGTGTAATGATGATCAGTGAGATTAATGTAAACTTCCTTAATTAGTGTTTATTGATGTAAATCTAATTAATTAATGTTAATTTAATTATCAGTGTTTCACAAATTTTGTTTTTCTTATTTATAAATAAAAATGTATTACGTGTATATTAAGAGTTATTAATTACTGTATTTACTCACATATTTCACTCTTTCTCAATCATATTTCCCTAATTTTTTAATGCACGATTCGGGAAAACTTTTCATTTCATTCGTATAAGTTTCGACGTGAAATTATTTAATTCAGGAAGTTGAGATTTTCACATAAATACTGTTGAAACTTCTCATATTGGCCTTCTTTTCACATGCATTTCAAGGAACATTCATTTAACTTCTTTCTCACCTAGCATGGAGATAAAAAAAAGGAATGATGTGGGTATAAAATATAAAGACAGCGGCTCTCTAGAAATTAATTCCCTTCGGAGGTGTTGATAAGGATGAAAATGTAAGATATCTACATATTCCGTGAGAATAGGCATCTTTCTCCGAAAGTAGTTGCAAGGGTGGAACGTTCTTGCCATGCTCCCTGCGGCCCGCTTCCATCCTTAGTTCCAGCCAGTCCTTCCAGTCTTCCTTAGTTACGGGAGAATATTATGAGCTGAGCATAGTTTCTACAGTTTTGCTCTGCCTTAGTTTTCTTTCCCAGGAGCGTAGATGGAATGAACAACTATCTCTTCTAAAAGCTGGAAAATCATTTTGGAATTAAGAATAGTAGCGAAATATCATGGAAAAAAAAACTGTAGAATTCAGACTTGCTTTTGGTTAAGATGATCTGTCGACTCATCTACACCACGCAATCATGCTCAACAGCGATTAATAAAGCCGGATTGCTTGTTCTGTGGAAACGATGAGAAGGACTAAACACAAACCACATTATGGGATTCTTGGCGTTGTGTAGAGCTTCCGAAGTGATGATGTGTAATGGGGGTAAGAGTCAGCTTCCCTTAGAAAATCTCCCTCTCATAGGCCTTCGCGTGCTTTGCCATAATAAAACTAGTCAAACGAAACTAAAGTGGTTAGATTTGGAGCGCTAGAAGCCTGGTGAAATTTTGATATTTTATTCTCGTGTATTTAATGTATTTTTATTCATAAAATGTTTGTTTGTCTCTCGTACCACTTGAAATGTTACATTTTCTTTTTTCCAAACTTGCTTTAAACTTTTGTAGATCTTTACGCATAATAAATTCTCCAGATTTAAATTACGTAACTTAACAAAAGATATTTACTTTTACCCTCAATTCAAGGGCAGTGTACGATGTAGAAATAAAGTTAATGCATTAAAGTCAATAAATAAAAGTAAATTTAATATCCATCCAGAATCAGGTAAATTTTTACCATCAGTTCTACATGTATTCATATATACTTTTTAATGGTACGAGTTTTTCGTTGAACTCTAGACTTCAAAATTACATTTAGCCCCTTGCAATTTTCAAGAAATAAAATTAATGTATAAGTGAGGGGAATATGAGAGTATATATGGTAATTTAACAAAATATAAAAACTTCGAATTTAAAGACTATTTTAAATTTGTCATATTTATGTCATCGAACGGAAGTAATCGAATGAATGCTATATTACGTATGACAGAGCTGTTGTTAATATTTTGTAATTCTTTTGAAAGCGTAAATATCCAATGAAATCCATGTTTAAACAAATTATTCTTGCAAATATTAGATTGGAAATAAAATTTAAAAACAAAAAACAGACACGACAAACTTTTCCTTGCCTACTGTTTTCTTTCTTCTGAAATATTTAAAAGTGACAGCTTTAAACTATTTTATCGCATCACTCCAAAATTGTGCTTGTGAATGTTTCTCTTTTTAGATGTGACTGAATTACTTTTCATACGTGCGTATGTTATTTTATTTGATTACTTTTTTTATGCTTTAGAGCAACGTTTCTCAAACGCTTTCCAAGTGGAGACCACTTTTATAAATTAGAATGTTGCGTGAACCACCACACTCATCTCCCCTTCGACAGTAATTTATTTAGCATTTGTTACTACCAGAATACTAATATTTTTAAATACGATTAATTAGAATTAATTTAATTGTATATTACCATAGTAGGACTGAGAAAGGC